TTTAAAAACCACTGGTTTAGAGGATACCATTGTAATTTAAGTTTTATGCCTCAAGGTCCATATAGTCTGTTTATAGAAATGCAAAACAAGTATAGTTCAAGAGCTGGTTAGAACCATGAACATGGTTTAAGAGTATAAGCATAATTCATTTAACAATTGCCTTAATAGTAACTGCAATTGTTTGATCATAATAGTCTTGACTGCTGAAGCAGAAGTTTTGGGGGTAACATATGAGCTAGAATTTAGATCTTCAAGTGAGGTATTAACATTAACATTTGCTTCATTAGCAAAAAGTCCTTTTTTTGACTTTTCATGACAGCTGTTTTGAACAACTGCTCTACCAAAATTGATGTTTCCAGAAACCCAGCCCAACAATGGGGAGAAGGTCACATAAGTGCATTGTCCAAGATCCCATTGCAGCAAGTTAGTAGATTCCTAGCTGTTAGCCTTCCAAGAGCTTGAGCTTTAATGTTAGAATAGTTACAAAAGGGTTGTGTACTAGTGTGGAGTATATAGCTGGCTATATACTCTTACCCACAAGTACCTTTTCTGGTCCCAGAGCCTAATGTCTTTCATGGATATTAATTTGAATCAATTTAACCTTATTAAAGTTCTTAAGGTTTTAAAATTATTCAGAGTTCGTATTTTTTAAATTTAGTCACTAGTATATTAATGTGGAGTTAGGCTAGAGATTATCCACCTGAAACCTTTCATTCTTTCTAGCCATCTTAATTGAAATCCCTCATTCCACAGAGAAAGACAGAAACTAGTGTGCTGCCTCTTAAAAGGAAGGAAGAGATAGTTGTTTTTTATGGATAAATGTAGTAAATCTTATGACAGAACAAAAGGTACCAGTGGGAGTTAAAATACACAAAGCAAATTCTAGTATGATGACTTTTAATAGTAGCTACTTGGGGTAAATTAACAACAAATTATTAATGATAAGACCCTAACTGGCTTGATGTTAAATTATAATTACACTGTTCTGCTTGAAGAGATTACACATTACTAATTAAAACTTCATTTCTTAATATATGTTGGTTTTCTTAGGACTTTTACTAAATCCCACTGCATAAAAGGCCATTCAGAGGCTTCATGTTTAGTTATTAACTCCTTTAATAGACACTAGGTTGGAGGGCATATGTGCAAATGATAGCCTGATTCACTGGAAGAATTTATGTGAAATTGGCCCTGCTACAGTTAACTGGGCTTTGTCAAAACAGTGAATTTAATTTTTATCAAATAAAATCAGTACTTCACACAATTTATGAGTCCCTTACTTTTCTGAAACAAAGAATCCTTTATGAAGATGACTAAGAGACATGTCATGAAGCTAAATGCTCTTGCATTAGCCCACTGAGTCACACATCCTTGAGGCTGCTTAGTCATCTTGATCATTGCTGGGCTGGCTCTCACATTTACAAGAGAATGTTTCCATCAGTCTTTTCCATCTCTTTGTTCAATATTTTATTTTTACAGGTTAGGATTAAATTTCTTTCTTCTTAGGTAAATTCACAATCCAGAGATAAGGTTGTATGCACATAACTGCCCATCCATAAATATTAGATGGGTAGGTTGGAAGCTTTAGTTGTATGAGGTTGTTCCCTTCACCCCCAACTAGCTCTTCTGCAAAGTACCTGAAAATTTGACTGGAAGTCTTTGAATGTCTGCTAGAAACTACTCTATGCTTTTTGAAGTAGTCTGCCTATAATTTTTTAAAGCAAATCACTATTTGTTAAA